ATACATTTCTCCATAAACATATATGCATATAACTCAAGCAGAAGAACATGAACAAGCGATTGACACTAAAAAATAACTGTTTGCCACGTATAAAAAAGTACAAATCATACATTGAGCAATATTAAAGATACTATCGACAGCGTTCGTTGACATCTTGAATGAAAGATTACTACACTTAATGTTTTGTTGATAGCAAATGTAGAAACTGGTTGAAAATGCATAAAAACATAGAGCAAATAGAATCCAAATACATCAGCAATAACTACAATCATTACTTATGGATATATACCTAAAGCCGTTTCGCAAGCTTTCTTTAGTTGTGAATGATGAGACTTTTTTGTTTCTTTATCGAGTAGAATTCTTCGTAAAGCACCAGATAGGAACACGTTCTTTGTTTTCACGTTCTTCTGCATGACTGAATGATTTAAAAAGTTCAAAAGGAATGAAAATAAAACCTTACTAAGGCATCTCTATGAATTACTATTCCACTGGAATTCCGCCATCTTCCATGTTTCATTCCATTTAATCACGTGACTATAAGGAAGTATGCGGAGCAATTGTGAATGGTGGAGGATTGGGTCGACAAAAACCAAAACTTTAAAATTCTGAATAACAAATGTTGTGGTCGTCTTTATTTTGACAACATTTTGACGATGAGAATTGAGAATTGACAGCCCAACTCATTCTGGCCATCAGAATCAGACTCATGATTTTTCCGTTTTCTATGTGCACTCGCTGCGAGTGTTAAAAGAAGTGATTTTTTAAACAAGAAAAATCGTCTGAAATTCACAATACATTATGCAATACCATAACTAGTAGGATGACTAAGCCATTGATTGATCTTGCTTTAAGCCACAGCCTCGTAGTATGTAAACATAACACAAGATATTAAAATAAAATCAAAAGTGAACATCGTAGGTTATATACTTCAGTCATTCATTTCAGAATGCAAATTCACAATAAAATGAATGGTTTTTGCAGTTTTCAACTTAATCATAAATGATATACAATTACTCAATTAAATGTATTTTTTGTCTAAATATTGCAACATGTTTGCTTTATTTAAATGATAAAGTGCATGTAGATATGTTGTATTGTAGTAAGGCATAAAAATGAAATCAATTTTCTTGTTTTAACGAAAATTTCTTAACAACGACATTTAAGTTCTCAAATAACATACTGATAGCGTCAGGATCAAAAATAGAACGTAATTGGGGGCGGGGGGTAAATATTCATATATTCAGCTCTGCCCTGCTGACTTCTGTTAAAATTAACATTGCAAACAAAAGAAATCAGCAGGGCAGAGCTGAACATATGAATATATACCCCCCAAATTAACGTTCTAGTTTCGCTCATGGAAGGGTGAATATATAAAAAAACGACGGCACACAGCTATAATAAAAAATTCCTGGTTTATTTTTAACACCGACAAATTTCGCAGCTTAAGCATGTAAAAGCACTTTAATTCCATACATTTAGTAAATAAGTTACGGGTGATTTCTGATAAAAAACACTTTAAAAAATAAATATATTTATATTATATATTATGTAATTCTTTTTAAAAAATTTTCATCCAAAGCATGAGAACTGTGCTACATTATTATCCGTAAAATCTTAGTTTGAGTTTGACGTCAAAACAAACATTTACAAACTATCTCGTGCATTGCACGTTGTTAAAAAACGTTTCAATGTTTCAATTAAGAAATAAAACATGTTTACTGTGTTTGCACAGGATTATGCAAACCGAGGAGACATTTGGGAGAACATAAGAGATGATCAGTGCAAGCCCGAGACCAAAGGTCGAGGGTTGCACGTGCTCGAGGTTCTCACAAACCTCTCCAAGGTTTGCATAAGGCAGTGCAAACACGAAAACATCTTTTATTTCTTTTATTCATTAACAATAATGTGAAAAAGACAAACGTTTCCATTTTTTCTCTAAAATGTATTCATGATCAATTTGCAAATTCTCTTTGACTGATTGATTGTTTTGATTGATTTGATTGGTTGAGCTCAGACGTACTTTGTACTGACTAATGCAAACTCAGCTCTAGAACAATCAACGCACCGTTTCATTGTGTTTATATTATAATTTAAGACGATGAATGACCTTATCAAAGCATCTATTGAAAGACAGATTGACATCTGTCGCATGTACACAGTGTGGTAAATCTATTTACAAAATTTTATATGTATTTTTCCAAGTGTTTTATTTATTGAATAACCAGAAGACTTTTAACTAATGTCTTTAACTAAGGTTGTTCTTACACTTCTAAACTCCTAAATTTGCAGGTATTATCGCATTAGCTACAGAAAAGGACAAGAGCTATTTTTACTTTACTATATGACTTTCTTCCAGTCATGTAAACATACTATATCATGAGATTATAACGTCATCACAAGAAATCGTCATGGATGATTAAGATACAACAACATAAAAATATTAATTGATCTCAAACCAACATTCACATGAATATCGTTTGATTTTCATGTGATCAATTCTTACTTAAATACGATCTCACAATAAGCACTTCATTGCACAAGTCACCACAGCTTCAAAGTAGGTCGATATAAGAAGAAGACAGAAATATTGCTACTCTATAAACGCATCATTACACAAGTCACCACAGCTTTAAAAAAACATCGATATAAGAAGAAAACAGAACTATTGCTACTTTTTTTTGTTGCATTTTTACTTGTTGCAAAAAAGAAGTAGAAGAAAAGGTAATTTCATTATTATTGCTACAAACTGTAATATGTAAAGAAAAAATACATTTGATCATTTTGTTTTAGCTATGAAAAGGGCTTACATTGTTTTGTATTTACTGGTTTTTATTGATTTGGTCAAAATGGAGCGATACAAGCAAATGAAGGAAAGACCAACGAAATCATTATTGGAAAAGACGTATAAAGAGGTTGGTCGTCTTAATATTTATCAAACATAAACAGTTGATAATAAGGAGTGGGGCAAAGTCCATAACCATGAACTAACCAACGTTAGTCATGAAAGCAATCAAAATTATTCTATAGAGCAAGAGAAATTTTCTCAGTCGATCACAAAAATTATTTATGAATTTGATATTCTGCTTTTTTGGCTTTGTTGCAATAACTTAAGAATTCTGATTTCCACACACAAACACAACTTATAATAAAAAGTAAACGCATTTTGATAATCAGCGTCAGAGAGCTAAACCTTTATATTTTACTTGCTACGTCTTTTTTTCTGTCATATAATCATAAACAATTTGATGAAAAGTAGACAAACATTTGGGTTCGGATCAAGCTTTTATGGGCACCAGGCGGTTCAAAAACTATCTCTTCTCTCTAACTGACATCTTTTATCCACAAAGAGTGTAAAAAATTGAAGAATTTTTTGTTTTAGAACAAAATAGCTACAATAAAAGTTGTGATATTTACTAAGAATGTTCCGCTAAAGCGTTATATACAAAAGTTGCTTTTTTCAACAATGATTTTCTTACAATGATGAGCCCAACGTTTCTTACGATGTGTTTTACTTACATAAAATTTGATCCTATTCATAGTTTGTAATAAAATGCTCACTTGACATCTAATGGAGGCACTCCAAATTTTGTCTGTAATATGAAGTTTAATAAAAAAAATATGAAATCCTTTCTTTCGTACTACGGTTTTTGCTTTACTTTTGCCAAACAAAGACAATATTTCCATTAAAAATATTTCCTTTGCGCGGGGCTCTCAAAGCCACTCGTCACGTGGCCACCACCCACAATACCCTTTCCTTGATCCAGCCAAGAGAACGTTTGATATTCGACTACAAACAACATGTCATTCAGAAATAGAGATGTTAACTAAAGACGTAAACCAGTCTGTGTAGTATAATATGGCCTCAAAAGTTTATGGATTGTGGGACTGCTAGGGGGATATGTGGCACTCCCCCTAAAATAGTTGTTTATTGGCAGGGAACTTATAGAGATTTGAAGGACGTTGGCTTTGTATTTTCATTTGGTCCAAAAAGACTTTTATTGATTATTTTCACTGCTTTTTTATTTGATTTTCTTGTTTCACTAAAAACTGTCCTCAAAATGCAGTGAATGATGATTTTCAGGAGATTCAAGTTGCCCCAGGGTCAACCCCAGACTCCTTGGATTTTCTCAATCTTGTGTCTTTGGTGTTTGCCACAAGAAATTACAACACTTGTAATATGTATTTTTACGGACTTGAAAGATTGTAAATTTAATTGACCAGTTGTCATGTGACAATAAATTTCTACATGAAATAGTCCTTAAATTCGTAACATTAAATAACAGGATGCAGATTGGCCGAGTGGCTTTTGCCATGTTCTAAATAATGATAAACAATTTTCATTTCGTTTGGCTCTTCAGGTTCATGCCACCTTTCAAAGATACAATAATTAATCCTTTAATGTCTTTGAAAAAAAGAAATACTTTGTATCAAAACTTTTACGTCCGTTTCAAACATCGAACTTTGCATGTGCTGATTGCATTTAAAACAAATGATAACGAGGAATTTTACATTATTTTCTTTTAAATTTTGCACGTGTAAAGATCTACATTTATAATAAGGCCCGTTTACACTATACCGAAATGCTATCATTACAGGTTAAATTTTCTATGTATTAAAATCATTGATATCGTTCAATGTCAAAAACAAAATTAAATTGACCAAATCTACTAATTTAATAAGCATTTACTCCATACTGTTACAACTTTAAAACGAATGAAAATGTCGAGATGAGCGAATCCTTTATATTGTGTAAACACACCTAAGCCTCAAATTTTGCCATGCTAAACCTCAATGTAACATGATTATTCAATATACAATGATGGCTCTAGGAATAAGAGAGGAAGGGGCAGATTGACCTCCTCCACCTAAATTTATTACTTTGTCCTTAGTTATCCCGCACAGATATTTTTATCTCACTTTTGTAAAGTAAGAAAAACTTAAAAACTTAAGATTTTAAAAGTTTGAATTAAAGAGGCACTTGTAAACACAATCACCATTAATTCATGTTAATATTTTATTGTATATAATTTACCTATATTTAAATGAATTACCACTGCATCACATTACTATCATATATGTTAAATCATTTACATAATATTGTCACTAATACTGAAGACATCAAATGCTGTTGAAACATTATTTTGAAAAACTCCAATTTTTACCTTAGTTGAAAAACTCCATTGTTATCCTTTCAGAATAGTGACCAGGGATATCGATATACCGCACGGAAAGCGAATTCTAATTATAAATAATAAAGCCTAAGGATAAGTGGAATTACAAGAAAACTCTATGTCTGTATACTTTGTGATTGTGTGTGTTTTTGTTTCTTTCGTGATTTCCACTTATCCCACTTCATACCATCTTATCCCACTTTTACTTTCACATTTTTCATCCCACCATATAATTTAATATTATGTAAATACTTATTATATATATAAATACCTTTATACTTGTAATTCAATACTGTCTGATGATGTCTTGAGAACCAAGACGAAACGTTACACTACTAAATAAATATTTCTTTTTATACGTCATTTTTGTATTGAATGGCTCTTTTAAATAAACTTTGCTGAGCTTTAATATTTATAATAAGTAAAATGTTTCTTGTTATGTTTACAATTGTCACAAATTGAAACTGTACATTTAACGTTGTATCAACCCCAACATCATGCAATTTTCTCAAAGGTTTTTGAATTTACTATTAAAGTTTGAGTTGATGTATTTATTCAGGAACATTAAGTTTTAAAAATTGAATTCTGCAATCTAAACTCTCAACAATAGCTAAAGTTCCTGTGTTGGAATGCATAGTTATATTAGTATTATAATATATTCCGTGAACTTTAGCGCATACTTTACCACTCTTTAAATCTACAGCAACAGATGACGAATTAAACACTCCAATGCAATAAGATTTGTGTACAACTAGGTCGGATTCCAAATAAAATTTACCGACATCATGCAAAATCGCATTCACATCACCATTCTCGTGAACATTAATTACATAAATGACCATTCTTTTGATGCCTTTGCAAAATGTCATGACTGCTTGTTTACTATCACTTATACAGCAGTTGAGCTTTAGATCATTTACAGTTACCTGTTGTGGAACAAATTTTTCAATGAGAGCTGTTATGGGTACTTCTGCAGTATGCCAAAGTTCCAAGTAAAGCTCATTGTTGGTATTTCTCCATTTCCATAATGTGTATTCTGTTTTGTTTACAGTTAAAATAACAGAATTATCAGGTGACACAGCTGCTGCTTTAAATTTTGAACTATCGACAGGAAGTCTTTTGTTGTATTGTATCTCACCCTTGGTAATTCTAACAACTTGAACAAAATCTTGTTCGTCAATACAAACTAAGACATCACCAAATGTTAAGATTTTCTTAGGTTTAAATCCAAAGTTAACTTGCTTTGCTTGAGAAGAATCTACAAAATTTTCAGATGAAGTTGATATCTTCATAAGATGATCAGAACCATCCCATATCCACAGTAAACCATCTGACCACCAACATCCTAATGCATTCTTCAGTTGCATTGGTACAGTTTGAATAATAGTGCAACGTTTAATGCTCCAAATATGAATGTTGACGTGGTCACCAACAGCGAAAGCAGCCAAAAAAGATCCATCCGGTGAAAAACAACAACATTTAATTTCAAAAAACTCAAAGATAAATGAAGATCTCCAAAGATGATCAGTTTTGAAAACTTTAACCTTGGAAAAATACGGCACAACGTAAAATTCCTTAAACGAGATGGGATGGACTTTTTTAAGATTCCTCCTAAAACATGGACACCTAACATGTGGTAAATGAGACACGATTTCTCCTCGATAGTTGTATTTTGTCAACTGAATGATTTCAGAAAGCTTTACGACCTGGTTAGTATGATAAAAAATACAATCACGATAATGTTGTGTTGTCACTAAACTTGGAGGTAGTGAATTGTTATTTTTTTCTGAAAAAATATCGATTGCCTTTGGGAATTGAAAAACATACGAAGTCTTGACGAAATTTGCATCAAAGAACTCTGAATATTTATCGGTGCATTGTAGTTTTTGGTAATCAACAACGCAGCGTCGATCGATTCTTTGCATAGATAATGAATTCCATGCAGTGAACACATCTTTAGGAAGTTCATCGTAATCTTTTACATATCTTGCTGTAATAAACAAACCAGAATCTAAGAAAGAGCAACGATTAACGACATCATCTGACTGTAAACATAATAACAAACGTCCATTGTTAACGTCCCACAACTTTACTTCAGTAGATCCATCACTAGTTACCAGTCTATTTCCGGTTGGTGAAAAGGAGCAATAACAGATGTTTCCACGTATAAAACAAAATTTCATTAATGTTGGATAGTCACAGATGTTATACCAGGATATAAACATGTTTACATCATCCCACTTATTCAACCTTGAATCATCAAGTGCAGTGCCTAGAGTGCATCGTTGTTTAAATTCTGGAAGTTCAAAAATAGATATTTGACCATTTTCAAATCCTACAGCAAGAAGTTCTTCATTGGATGACACACAAATAGATGTAACGTTAGCACGCAAGGAGACAGTCAAATGATGATGGTTTGTTAAATATGTTGAGTCTAAATCCTCAAACCAAACAAACTTTCCTTGTTTCAATAAATCCCTTGCCAGAAATCTTTTTTCGTTGCTGCCATGAATTCTGTTTGCAATAATTTGTAAATAAAATAAGATATTATCAAACTCAAACTCATATCTCATTGTCATTAATAAATGAAATAGTAGTTCGTCAAGTACATCTTTTCTCAAGAAAGTTCGTAGTTTCTTAATGATTTCACGCAATTCAGACCTAATAATGAGCAACATGTTAATGTCTTTCACACCCATAATTCTTGCACAAATCACTTTGACATCTACTGCCCAGCTAAAGTCAACATTTTCGCCACATTCTGACATATGATAGATTCCATTCTTCAAAGCATATTTAATCATAGCAGTGTTTATCTGATCTTCAAAAATGTTTATCGACTTAATTTGTTCAAATACTTTCTCACAAGCATGCCATAAGAACTTATGACTATTTTTTGGATTAACTGTAAACTCATGCTGTTCATAACCATCTGATTTCAACCAATCAATTAGAGATTTGTGATATACGGTTAAACAATCATCGTAAACAGGCAAAATTTGAGATAACGATTCAATGATTTTACTGCAGCCTTCAAACTTGATGTCACCAGAAAACCTAAATAGCTAAACAGTAAAGTTAATGGTAAAAACTCCCGACAGGCAGCCAACAATTCAAGAAATTGCTTAAAACTAGTTTCTGAGATAACAGAATTTCTGGGACTTTTCTTCGTTAACAATTCTTTTACTCTTTTGAATTGCTTTGTGTAAACACCGCTTAACCCACTAGGGACCAATTGTCTAATGCTTTTGAAAGTAAGCTCTGTATTTTCTTCTTTCAAGCTCCGTTGTGCGTAATACGCATAAAGAAATGATCCATCACATTTTTCAACTAATGACAATAGAACTTGGCGATCTCCCTTCACCCGATTATTCAACTGATGTCTTAAATACTTGTGCAGGTCTTCTTCGTTGTTTTCATCACGAGGACGAGTTGTAATCTCCACAGGATTCATATCTTTCAACTCCTTTTGAACAGGAAGTTCTGGACGACTGGTGATGAAGATTTTAATCCATTTTGGCAGTCGGTCAAACTCTTCTGCAATCAATTCCAGCAATTCACTTTTGCCATCAACTTGGCTTTCATCCAAGGCATCAACAACCAAAATCATTGGTTCATGATCTTCCAATGAATGCAATGGATCATTTAATAAAACACGGAATGCATCGGTGATTGAGTCTTTTGAATGGTTTCTCTGTAATTCTTCATTCAGTTTACTTTTAAAATTTGATATTGTATCACACATGCTACTAGCCAATGATTCTATCAATATTCGAGGATTTCTATAATCTGATCTATTATACCTGCAAAAATGAGAAGCAGCAAGTTTCTTCTTTTCAGAATATCGTCGACACACCTCAGCAGCAAACACACTTTTACCAACACCAGGACCGGCAATCAAAATCATGACATTAGAAGAATCTTCAATTCTATCGTTAAACCAAGTGTCGAGTGTTTCAAATAACCATTGTCTAGTGCCTTCAAGGTATTTCTTGTTAAGATCTTTTATAAGACCGTTAAAATTACACTTTCCAAGAATTTCAACATTAGAATATGTTTTGTCCTGTAACATTTTTTTTATTCCTGCTACATCAGCTTTTGTTTTCTTTACATCCTCATTTATGCAAGTAAAGTTATTTAACATTTCAATATAATTTACTTCATCGGGACTGAGTGGAGCTTTCTTTAAATCATGTATTTCAGTTTGTTGAATACCCAGACCAACCAATGCTTTTGAGATTTTATCCCACAAGCGCTCAAACGTACTGTCATCTACGCTAGTTGTGCTTGTGTGGCCATACACTTTGTTTCGATAAAACTTTATTCTTGCAATATTTGCTGAGATTGAAGTATCTGAAGAGGAAGGAAGATTATTCCATCCACCATGTGGAGCTGTTAGACCACATATGTTACGCAATAAGACACTCAATAATGAAATATCAAAATTTTCAAGGCTTGGCAAACCAGTTGATGGGTAAAGAAGGTCCCATTGCTCTTTGTTGATGACGCTTCTTTTTCTTAATGATTCCAATGTACTTTTATTTGAGGGTTTATTAAGTTCATTGCTTAGGTTTGACGAACGAAAATTTATATTAAACTGCAATGTTGTTTTTAAAGCTTGTGTTCCTTTATTTATCAAGAGTTTACTTAAACGAGATCCGTTTGCCTCAATCTTCAATTTTTTAGGGGGTGAAGCCATTTTTCAAACTAAAAATTAAGTTTTTGCAAAAAGCATTAATTTACAATGTGCAAATCAACAAAATATGGAAGGCATTAAAAAAAACAATATTACAAGAAATTTTATAACTAGTCCTCGTTTATATTTTTCGGATAAAAAATTGAAATAAATACGATGTTATCAACAAATTATATTTCGAAATAACCTTGTTATGACAAACATGATATTTCTTCAATCACTTCACCCTACACACTTGTTTCACTTATTCAAAAGTTAGCAAAAACTTCTAAAAATATTCTGGAACTGTATTCAAAGATTACCATGTTTTTCAATCATTTTTTTCACAGCATTATTTTAAGACTACTTATGGTTGTAACCAGTGGCGTAGCCAGGAAAAATAGTAACCCCCGCTCATCATCTCACGCGGAAAGCCCGACCCAGAAAAATTTGCTCCCCAGAAAAATTTTGAAATCCAGAGCTTCGGAAACAGCATATCCTGCGATTTGGAGGGCGAATTATTTGTTCTACAAAAAGTTATAAAAACCCGTTTTTATCAGCTGCATTCTTAATGAGGCAATCGTCGAAACTGTAACTAGTTAAAAAGGTACTAAAGGTGGCTCAGAGAAACGCTACGCGCGAGACAATTGTCCTCTAAAACATAATGAATCAAACTCATCACTGCCCTTGAATAAACAGAAGAAATCTGGATTAGTACAAAAAATAACGTAGTAAACGATACTTCCTAAAATGTAATGGGAGAGATTGTTCTTAGCATTTCACTTGTTAGTTTACACTTGTTTAGATTGGGGCAGGTAGACAGGAATGGCTTTATTCTTAAGTTATGCTTAATTTTTTCAGTGAAGTACCATGCATTATAAGAACAAATATCAAAACACATACCATACCCATCATTTATAAAGAAAGTCTAGTCTCCAAAGTTTTTCTAAAAATTTTTCAACCACCTCCTTAGGCAACACCTCTGAATGCACTTTTTGTTCAATGATATCTTTGTGAATAGACATTCCATACACAGAGCAAAGCCGACCTTGACCTAATCTATTCCTCAAATAGCTTTTGACCCTTTTCAAGCAAGAGAAAAACCTCTCTACTGAAGCACTTTCCACTGCCAAGACACCATTCAATTTTAACAAATTTACCACTTAACGTTAACTCGACTGGAGATTAGATTTGTGTATGTATTTAAGCATCTCATTACTGCACTCTTTCTGAAAGTCCTTGTCGTTGTAAATAAAGGAAAGTTGACTCTCCAAAGTTGGGATGTCAAAAAGAGGACTATACTAATCCTTGAGAAGATTGATCTTTTCCTGTGGAATTACACCCTTCCAGGTAGGAAATACTTTAAGATTTACAATATCTAAAAACTCGAACTGATTCATATCTTGAAATCGCTCACTTAACATGCCTTTAATGGATCAGGGGCGGATCTAGGGTATGTCAAATCAGTCATGCGACTAATGTGTGTAGTTCAAAAATTATTATACTAATCAAATTTAATGATCATTAAATTCCCGTTCTGTAATCGTTTGGATTTCATCGTCAAAATTCTGTTTTATGTATGAAAACTTATACAAATACCACCTTAATAAACAGATTAGTGGATAAAAACATATCTAGAATTATATTAACTGGCTGACTGATAAACGGGATGGCTCGACTGGTTCGACCGATAGCGGATTATAAGAACGCTTATTTAAGCTATTCCATTGGTCAATAGCCAGATCAGTGGACGATCTGGAATAATCTAGACCGATAAGCGGGGTGGCCGGACCGATAAGAGTGTCCAATTGCTATCGTGTAATTGGCTCGTTTAAATTTTTTTCTTACTGTGATTGGTTTGACCGATTTCGAATGACAGCCAACTGAACTAACATAGTCAAGCTCACTGTCTGAATTGAATATTTGATCGTTTCATAGTAATTTTCTAAAGCATGATAGAAACTAAACTACAATCAGATGGAATTTATGAAAATTTTTACGAATTCATATATTGACATGAATGCTGCTGTCCAAACTGGGAATTTTTTCAAGAGGGTGAAAAATTTATGGATGAATTGTTAATGCTAGGCAAAGACGATCTCGCGAGCGACATTTCAGTCATTGATGTTCAAAAGAAAGCCAAAATTGTTTTGAGTTTTATCACCAAAAATTTACATCCAAAATCGTAAGTAAAGGACAAGTGAAGTGTATGCATGAATGTAATATATCAAAGTCAATTTATGCGAGTGTGTGATGCGATTTATGTCAGGCGAAATGTTTGGCGCTTTTCAGTTTATGATCATTGATCATTCAATCATTGGACAGTTATACTACACATTGTTTAATATTTGAGAAAACTACCATTGATTACATGAGAAGCTGTTTACTATATCCCGTGATTTTGAGTCTTTTCTGATCCATGAAGCTTTTTATTTTGACAATTTGACAGGGATTGTATTAAACCATGAAATGTTGTCCCATGTCACATATTGTCCCCTTTTCTAACTGAACAACTCATGTAGAGATGTCAAGGTGTGTTGATCTACGGCTCATACCAGATTGTTTGCCATAAATTCCGAAGAGCTATTGATTTAAGAAAAGCATTTTCTATTAAGTAAAAATGTCTTCCTATGTATGCAGATAAACCTCGAACGGATTCATATCTTGAAATCGCTCACTTAACATGCCTTTAATGGAATCAGGGGCGGATCTAGGGTATGTCAAATCAGTCATGCGACTGATGTTTATAGTTCAAAAATTATTATAATAATTAAATTTAGTTATCAATAAATTCCCGTTCTGTAATCGTTTGGATTTCATCGTCAAAATTCTGTTTTATGTATGAAAACGTATATTAACTGGCCGACTGATAAACGGGATGGCTCGACTGGTTCGACCGATAACGGAGTTTAAGAACGCTTATTTAAGCCATTCCATTGGTCAATAGCCAGATCAGTGGACGATCTGGAATAATTTCGACCGATATGCGGGGTGGCCGGACCGATAAGTCAGGGATGGTATTAAACCATTAAATGTTGTCCCTTGTCACATATTGTCTCCTTTTCTAACTGAACACCTCATGTAGAGATGTCAAGGTGTGTTGATCTACGGCTCATACCAGTTTGTTTGCCATAAATTCCAAAGAGCTATTGATGTAAGAAAAGCATTTTCTATAAAGTAAAAATATCTTCCTATGTATGCAGATAGACCTTGAAATTTGGCAAAACAGCAAAGTATTTTTCATGATCATATGAAAAGATATTTATCATAACCAGTAAGCATGATTCATGAAGCAATTTTAACATTCATGTCATTATATAATTAAAAGCATGTTGGTTACATTCTGTTTGTACTGGCAAATACAATCCTACTGGTGATTGCTATATAGCACACCTTGCATATACTTACAGAAGATAGTAGTTTAATAGCCTAATAAACATTAATGCTGTCCTTAATTGCAAATTTTTACTCTGATAATTTTTGCTTAATCTTTGGTAGAAAAAAATTTTGAGTTTTTTCTCAAAAGGTGAATTTGCTGGCACTGTATGTGGAGATGGGTAAAGGGTTACAATAAACTTGCATGGTTTGAAGTCTGAGCTTTTCTACATCTACGAACTGTCCCTTGCAGTACCAAATTTCTAACTCAATTCATTACATAGAGGTTTGAATGGGGATCTCCAGGGGGTCTATGCCTGACAACTTGGTAGAAATTTTTAAAGACAATAACTTTTTTGGAATAGCCTTATTGTAAAATAAATTTTATGTTTCTAGACATGCTAATGAGCCATATATTTGCCATAATGAGCCCATTTTATGCCATAATTAAAATGGGTTTCCCTATTTTGAATAACGGAATACAAAATTATGGACTGCTCTAAAGCCCACTATCGAGCAGAGAACGGTTTAGCTAATAAGCTATTTCCTATATCAACATCAGTTGAGCAAATCGCAGTTGCACTTAAAGCCATTGTGTCATACACAAATACATAATAGCAATTTCAGAGGAAGCACAATAGAAAATTAATACCGACTATGATCTCGTAATTTGATAATCACTGACCGCTGTACTCGTATACTAAAAGGTTGAAGAATTACAACCTCCGCCAATTTAAACAGCGGGAGTTTGACTATAAAAACAGCAGATTTGAGCATGCGCCAAGTCCCTTTAGCCAACCAGAATTCAAAACTTCTCATGTAGAATTGTATTTTACGTTCCGCTCTCTTAAGATAGGTGAAATACGTGGAGAAATCGCGCCAGTATGCATTGAAATGTGCCAGGAAAGGCGGTTGCTACGTTACAAGACAAATCTTGAGATTTTTCGGTATTACGATTACGAACCACCAAATAAAAGCGAGAAAATGAACGAAAACATAATATAACATATTTTTTGCGCAATAATGTATATTTAATCTCCAAATAGAATATTTATTATTTTTTACTCCGCCGGGCGGGAGTAGCGGGACCGCTAGCTATGCCACTGGTTGTTACGACCGACGATTTTCCGACAAATGTATCTAATGTATGTTTGATATTTGAACTGTAAATGTTTTAAACAATGTAAATAGTTATTTCTTGTGTCTATTGGTCATGGTTTCAAAAGAATCATTTATTTTAAAATATGTATAAGATATTAATTCATTTAAAGAAACTCAAAATTGTTAATGAAACTTAGATATGATTTCAAGAGAAAACGAAACGGTTTTTGTAACTTTAAAATTACGGCGTATTGTTCGGCAAATTTTGGGTGCAAAAACAATAATTGAAGATGAAATACTAACGTTATATATATGCTTTACATTTGTACATTGTAGTGTTAACTAAAGTTTAATTTTATTTGAAAAGAAAACAATCTTAAATCATAACGTGACAAGTAACAAGGGCATCACTGATTTAAAGTTATTTAATAACTAACCTTCATTTTTAAAATTACCTTCGTTTTAGAAATAAGACTTCATATACGACGATCGTGTGGACAAAATTATGCCTGCATTAGTTCTTTACATGTTACGTATCTAACAAAGATGAGAGATTTAATATAAAGAACGTGACCACATACATATCAGTTTAAAAGTGTTGATCATAATTCATACCTTATTGTAACATCAATCTTTTATCCTTGTAGGTTTTGTTACATAAACACTTTTAAATAACGAACGAAGATGAAGAGTGAGTCAGGATCTCCTTCAACAAACAGTATTATAAAACATTAATGACATCTCTGTAGAACAATCCAGTTCTATAGCTAAGTATACATCACTGATTAAAAACAACTGTTATAGAAATAAAAATACATAAACAAGAACCTGATGCAGAGTACATAACAACACTGAAATGAGTCAAATTCCAAAAGGACTACTGTTAAATAATATAAGGTTTAAAAAATTTCTACTCAGGAATAAAGGGATCACCTATCTAAAATAGGATTTGAATGTGAATGATTAAGACACAATTTTTGAAACTTCAAATGATGGATTTTTTCACTTCGTTAATCAAAAATTCCATACATGTATATTATTTCAAAAGTCAGTTCATATTATAAAAAGACTTTTATTATTAAATAACCCATTGTAAATTATCAGTACATTTTAATTATCAACTGCACGCAATTGTAAATACTTATGATCAATAAAAAACACTACACATATAACAGTAAAGGATGCAATGAAAGTAAACTTTAACCCTGTTAAACTAACATATGATCAAAAGTATGACTTTGAAAGCTCTGTGTTGCATGAATCAACATTTCACAAAAATAGATTCTGTCGCGTTCGTCCTCTGTGTGTAAATACATTCTTCCTGTATTTAACATTTGCTTATTTTTCAAATTTTATTACTTTTAAAAGAATGGTTTATTGTATACAACAATCAACATTTTGCTAGCCACACAGAGATTAGTCAAGTGGCGTCAGCAAATAAGGGATATGATGCAAGGTTAGACATGTGCCCCTCACTACATAAAATTTTACAGATCCCTCTTTTTTCCATAGACAAGTACAGTTTATAAAGAAAAATTCAGCGTCTTACATTTAGAAAATGGTGTCATGTTACTCTCCCTCCCCCCATATTTTTGAATAGGTTTTACTGTCCTTTACCATGCAGCTTATTGCCAATAGTTAGAAAAATGGTAAATCAACCTAAATAAGATTTCTCTTGAATGTTTGGTCATACATTATCGAGAAGCTTCAGTAGCAAACTTGTTATGTAAAGCTACTAAAATAGTTTTAGAATCTCGCTTTACTTATAACAAATTACTTTCGTTTTAGAAGTAAGAATTAAAATATGACGACCGTGTAGACTAAATTATGCTATCTTTAGTTCTTTACATGTCACATATCTAACAAAGATGAGAGATCTCATATAAAGAACGCCAACACATACATATCAGTTTAAAAGTGTTGATCATAATTCATACCTTATTGTAACATCAATCTTTTATCCATGTGAGTTTTGTTACATAAACACATTTAAATAACGAACGAAGATGAAAAGTAAGTCAGGATCTCCTTCAACAAACAGTATTAAAACATTAATGACATCTATGTAGAACTTTCTAGTTATATAACTAGGTATACATCACTGACTAAAAACAATTGTTATAGAAATAAAAATACATAAATAAGAACCTCATGCAGAGTACATAACATTGACATTAGTCAAATTCCAAAAGACTACTGCTAAATCTTATAAAGTTTCATAAGTTTTAACTCAGGAATAGATGATCACTGATCTAAGACAAGATTTAAATGGCAATGATTATGACGCAATTTTGGAAACTGTAAACGGATTGTTTTAATTCATTAATCAAAACTACCATACTTGGATATTATGGCACAATTCACTTTTTATTATAAAAAACCTTTGTTGTTAAATAAATCATTGTAACTTACGAATACATTTCAAACATCAACTGCTCGCATTATAATTACTCCGCTATGAGAAAAAACACTGTCGATACAGCAATAAAGGATGCAAGGAAAATAAGCATTAAGATAATGCTAGTCTCAGATGTGCAGTGACGCTAAGAAGCACAATGTTGTTTAAAAATCTCAGTCTCAAACTATCTACTATCAAGATTAATCTCTGTGTATTTGGTGTTATCATATCTCTCTATATCATTGGGAATGTATTTGGTATAGACATAAAACAACTCACTTCATGGTAGGGGAGAAAATTGTCGAATGGTGTATGCTAATATTATTGGGCTAAGCGTATTACCGTGAGTAATGTAAAAATTCGTCACATTGCTCATGTTTAAAGCAATATTTTAAGTAAAAACGTCTACTTAGTGAAATAAAAGAATCATGGAATCTTCATTATGTACGCAAATCACACTACCATACTTTATAAAATCATTTTTTATTCTCGCTGAGTCGGTTGATGCAGAAGATTAAAAAAATTTGTCTTAGAAGACCTGACAGAACAGAAAACTTGCGTACATATTTTTTTCAAAATGTATGTCATTATATTTATTAAACGCAGTGTTTTGGGAAATGTACCCAAAGGCCGAGGAATAAAAAATAGACGTGAATATTAATGATAGCTGCAATGAATAATGTTATGACAAATGACTTCGCCTGGCCCCAAATGTGGACACTGTTTTTTTTCCAACAAAACGAAATGGGAGGGAAAACTGGTGGTCCGGTAAAAAACCCTGCAATAAATAAAAAGATCAAAATTTAGAAAAATTTTGTGAAATTTTTGTTGTTTTAAGATTTTTCATATTTTAGTTGTTTTCAATGATCCCGATGATCTACTTTAACGTGCAGCGTAGTCAGATCGTAGCTTCGTCGTTCGTATCTTAAATTTGCAAAGCGACAAAAAAAGCGTCGACAAAAAAGCGGCGGCAAAAAAGTCGGCTGACTACCCTATTTATTGACACCGCAAATATTTAATGTTCGAAAAAAAGAAACGAAAACTTTAGTAGAGAACAAAAAATGAAAGAGTGCAGAGTGTTAACAAAAATTTTAATAAACAGACGAAAAAATAAAAACTAATAGCAGCTCATACATATATCATATGAAAAATTCATTCAGTACGTTCGACCTGATCATTCACCTACCAAAAAAAAATGAAAAATGAAATGACCAAAAAAACGTCTCGCGACTTGCATACAAATTATTTTTGATGTCTACTAGATTTCATTTGATCAAATTTTTTATGTTGCTTCATTAAGACCTTCATTAATAGCTGGCTTTCACTCGTGTGTTTTGTCCGAAAATTTGACAATTGTGAAAATTTAGTTTTACAAAAAAAAAATTTTAACGGTTGAATTTAAAAATGCGTTATACTGATGAATAGTTTGCATAACGAAAGTCACAAGTGGGAATATTTTAATAAGGATGCTTAGTGCTTCTGTCCAGCTTGATCGCTCATTCAATGTCTAGTTATTACGTCTACAGACATAGCTACTCTATAAAAAAAACACATTATAAATGTCAGCATAATGAATGAATAAAATCAGAAATTATATATTTTGCAAAGAACAAAACTTTAATACCTCATTTTCAAGCATTGTCCTGGTCCGTCTGATACAGGCGTCTTAGTAGATCTTTTCCACTTTTCTTACAGCGCAGTTTTTACGTGTATATAGTAGAAATTTTATTGTAACATTTTTGTCTTAAATATTCAATGAACCCCACTTGCAGCATTGCAATTTTGTTTGTAAACTTTTAATAAAATTAGTAAAAAAAAGCGAGTGAAAGCCAGCTCTTTTCTTACAGCAATTGACAACTTTTATTGACATTTTTTCAGCTAATATAGGTGTTTTTCATGCTTATGGTTCAAATTATAAAAAAATAGACCATCAGGATCCTTTTTGAATATCTCATGCAGTTACTCATAGCTATAAGTTAATTTTAATACTTATCTACTCAACTTACAAACCACAAGACATAGATCATGCTTTTCCACTCGCTTGTTTTCCATCTTCGTAGATTATAGTCCAATCATTTCAACGTTAATGTTCACACGTACATATGCCGTTATGCAATGTCCATTCAATACGTTTATACCATTCCATACACAAAGTAATCAACGTAAGCAATAAAGGGGCTACTGGTATTATGAATCGCCATTTCGATAGATTACTGTTTACGATGCACTCTTATGGTAACTTCAAGCGGAGGAAAAGGGATCACATCAATGCCCCAGTTATATCATCCCTCAAAGAATGCTTAGTGCAGATTTATCTTCTATGAATGTCAGCTGATCACCTTTAGGTGGGCTCATATAACAATGGGGCCCATCATCATTATATGAACAAACAACTGACATCCACAAAAAATCCAAACTGCAAATAAACATTTTTGGCCAAGAATCCCCATGACACATGAGTAATGACAAAGTAAGAGTAATTGAAGTGAATGACACAGGTGGTAAAGAGACTTTCACAACTCTATCCATGAGGGATCTACAATATAAGCTAAAAAATATGAAACATATGAACGACATTTCATGATAAAGAAATCTACATATGACGTTAGTTTGCGTTTTTAAATCCTTAATCCGATAAATTGACAATGAGCAAATTGTTTTATGTTTTCCGTTTGACTATCCAAATGGTAGAACATTCACCAACATTGAACGAATAGCTTTAGCCAGTTAAGTTTGACAGATGTAATAAGTTTCAAACGATCAAAGGCTTTACATCCTTATCAAAGCATTTTACATTGAAAGCTTTCATATTACGAGGCCTACCATTAAGACAAGTTGATTATTCAATGCAACTCATACTTCAGTACTTCGTCAGTAAAAAGACAGAATTTACTTTTCTTTTTACAACGTTTAAATGACTAGTTTTCCGTTGTTAACATTTGATTAATCACGTCATGACTAAAGTTGTGATTGGCTCCTTAGGAGTTTTTCACCTTTCACAAAGACAATAAGTAATTCTTCTATGCATTTGAACAAATAAATCTATTAGAATCTACAATCTTTTTGCGTTTTTATGTCATTATGCAAAGCAAAGATGCATGATGTAGTAGGTTAAGAATCATGAGACCATAATGAACTTATAGACTAGAGTTTTTTATTTGTCTTAATATTAATTGAATCTTGCAGTCATGTCTAGCTGGGTTAAGATAAGGATTGGGTTTAAGAGCGTTATGTTTTCCTCGAGGTTCTACTGCTAA